GTTTCACTCATGTTACCCAGGCTGAAGTGCAATGGCGCGATCTCGGCTCACCGCAACCTCCGCCTCCTGGGTTCAGGCAATTCTCCCGCCTCAGCCTCCTGAGTAGCTGGGATTACAGGCACGCACCACCATGCCCAGCTAATGTTTTGTATTTTTAGTAGAGATGGGGTTTCACCGTGTTGACCAGGATGGTCTCGATCTCTTGACCTCGTGATCCACCCGCCTCGGCCTCCCAAAGTGCTGGGATTACAGGCTTGAGCCACCGCGCCTGGCCTTGCTTCTTTTAATAACCACCACTGCTCCTTGGAAGGAGAACAACTGAAGTAAGAGATTGAGTAACTAGTAAAGACAAAACAAGAGCTAAAATGTTTAACTAAATAATAGTTACGGAGGTTCAATGTCATTTATAAATATTCAAGGAGTATGAAACTAAAGGGCTATTAGCATAGTTCTTTCTTCATCAAGAGGCAATTTTTAAATTATTATTATTTTTAGACTGGGTCTTGCTCTGTTGCCCAAGCTGGAATACAGAGGCATGAACACAGAGCTGACTGCAGCCTCCACATCCTGGGCTCAAGTGATCCTCCTGCCTCAGCCTCCCATGTAGCTAGGACCACAGGCACACACCACCATGCCTGGCTAATTTTTAAATTTTTTGTAGTGATGGAGTCTCACTTTGTTGCCCAGGCTGGTCTCAAACTCTACGTCTCACTCCACCCACCTCAGCCTCCCAAAGCATTGGGATTACAGGCATGAGTCACCGTGGTGCATGGCAAGAAGCAATTTATTATAAGGGCAGGGACATTGTCCCTTTTGTTCATGGCTATATTCACAGACATCGGTAAGAAATACATTAGGTACTCATGTGATATTTGACAAGTATCTGATGTGCTCTTGCTATTGGAAATACAACCAGGAGTAACACAGACAAGGTCCTTGTCCAATGGCACTTGCTTACATTGAAACAAGAAGAAAACAAAACAAAATTAGGCCAGGCGCAGTGGCTCACACCTGTAATCCCAGCACTTTGGGAGGCTGAGGAGCGTGGATCACTTGAGGTCGGGAGTTCAAGACCAGCTTGGCCAACATGGTGAAACCCCGCCTCTACTAAAAATACAGAAAATTAGCCGGGCGTGGTGGGGGGTGCCTCTAATTCCAGCTACTTAGAAGGCTGAAGTAGGAGAACCACTTGAACCTGAGAGGCAGAGGTTGCAGTGAGTCGAGATTGTGCCATTGCACTCTAGCCTGGGTGACAGAGCCAGACTCCTGTCTCAAAAAAACAAATAAAGAAACAAGATTAATTATTAATAATTTAAGTGCTAAAAGAATAAATCAAGAATGAAGATAACAGTGACGGCTGCTCTAGACTGGCAGTAGAGGAAAGCCTTTGTGAGGAGGAGTCAAGATCCAGTGAGGAGTAGTCATGCTACGGACAACCCTACAATACACACAAGCAGAGGACTCACAAACGTGGCAGCTAATGGCTTTGTTTCTAGTGTTAAGCCTAAATCAAGCCACTGCAGGTCTGTTTCTGAACATAAAACATAATTAGGAGGCCGGGTGCAGTGGCTCATGCCTGTAATCCCAACACTTTGGAAGGCCGATCACTTGAGGCCAGGAGATCAGCCTGCCCAACATAGCGAAACCCTGTCTCTGAAATTGGCTGAGCGTGGTGGCGCACACCTATAATCACAGCTACTTGGGAGGCTGAGGTGGGAGAATCGCGTGAACCCGGGAAGTGGAGGTTGCAATGAGCCAAGATCACACCACTGCACTCCAACCTAGGCAACAGAGTAAGACTCTGTCTCAAAACAGAACAAAACAAACAAAATACATACTACGAATAAATTGCACTAATGTCCAATTTCTTTCTTTCTTTTTTGAAACAGGGTCCCACTCTGTCACCTCGGGCTGGCACGCAGTGGTATAATCATAGCTCATTGTAGCCTCAGTCTCCTGGGCTCAAGCCATCCTCCCACCTCAGCCTCCTGAGTAGTTGGAACTACAAGCACAAGCCACCACACCCAGCTAATTTTTTTTTTTTAAGAGCCATGGTCTTCCTGTGTTGCCCAGGATGGTCTCAAACTCCACACCTCAAGCTATCCTCCTGCCTTGGCCACCCAACGTGCTGAGATTACAGGCATAAGCCACTATGCCCAGCCTAGTTTCTTTTTCTCTTTTCTTTTTTTTTTGAGACAGAGTCTCACTTTATCGCCCAGGCTGGGGTGCAGCGTCGCTATCTTGGCTGACTCCAACCTCCACCTCCTGGGTCCAAGCGATTCTCCTGCCTCAGCCTCCTGGGTAGCTGGGAGTAAAGGCACCGGCTACCACACCCAGCTAATTTTTTGTATTTTCAGTAGAGACAGCATTTCACCATGTTGGCCAGGATGGTCTTGATCTCCAGACTTTGTGATCCACCCACCTCGGCCTACCGAAGTGCTGGGATTACAGGCGTGAGCCACTGCATCCGGCCGTTTGTTTTTTGTTGTTGTTGGGTTTTTTTGAGACGGAGTTTCGCTCTTGTTGCCCAGGTTAGAGTGCAATGGCATGAACCCAGCTTATTGCAACCTCCACCTCCCAGGTTCAAGCTATTCTCCTGCCTCAGCCTCCCAAGTAACTGGGATTACAGGCATGCACCACCATGCCCGGTGAATTTTGTATTTTTGGTAGAGACACGGTTTCTCCATGTTTGTCAGGCTGGTCTCAAACTCCTGACCTCAGGTGATCCACCCACTTTGGCCTCCCAAAATTCGGGGATTACAGGCAGGAGCCATCGTGCCCAGCGGCCCATTTGTTTTTAATTGTATGAACCGGTACACTGAGGGGAGGATGCTTGCACAGCAACACCATTTTCTGAGTTCCTAATGACGACGATCCCTGGCAGCCAATCTCTTCCATTAGGCTATCTCCAGAGGAATATTAGAGTGCTTCTGTATTTGCTGAGCACTCTCCCACAGAGGCAGGAGAGGAGGAGTAGCTGCAACACAGAGGAAGGTAGGTGTGGAGGGAAGCCACATGTACCAAGCACCAAGCACTGATTGATGTGAACAAGTGTTTCAGGCTCCTGCTACCAGTAAGTTTGGTCCCTGCCTTTAAGAAAGATTAAGCTCGGGCCGGGCGCGGTGGCTCACGCCTGTAATCCCAGCACTTTGGGAGGCTGAGGCAGGTGGATCACAAGGTCAAGAGATCGAGACCATCCTGGTCAACATGGTGAAACCCTATCTCTACTAAAAATACAAAAAATCAGCTGGGCATGGTGGCACGTGCCTGTAATCCCAGCGAGGCAGGAGAACTGCCTGAACCCAGGAGGCGGAGGTTGCGGTGAGCCGAGATCGCGCCATTGCACTCCAGCCTGGGTAACAAGAGTGAAACTCCAACTCAAAAAAAAAAAAAAAAAAGAAAGATTAAGCTCAACAGGCTTTCATAAATTATCATATCTTTGTTGCCACAGCAATACACCATCAAAACAGAAGGCAGATGCTGATAGACCATTATTCAAATATCATCACTCAAAACCTGTCATTAGCATTCCAAAATTACACCATTTCAGCCTTTTAAAAGGGCTTTATTCAGTAATCACAAAAATACTTGCATATTTTAAAAGTCAAAAATACAAAAAGTATGTCTGGGGGCAGTGGCTCACGCCTATCATCTCAGCATTCTGGGAGGCAAGGGTGGGCAGATCGCTTGAGGTCAGAAGTTCGAGACCAGCCTGGCCAACAGTGTAAAACCCCATCTTGCCAAACAACACAAAAATTAGCTGGGTGTGGTGGCGGGTGCCTGAAGTCTCAGCTACTAGGAAGGCTGAGGCGGGAGAATCATTTGAACTCAGGAGGCAGAGGTTGTAGTGAGGGTGAGCCAAAATCACACCACTGCACTCCAGCCTAGGCAACAGAGCAAGACTCTCTCCAAAAACAAAACTCAAAAAGAAGAAATTTAACTTTCCTATTATCTCATAAACCAGAGTAATCAACATTTATATCATGGCATACTTTAAACCAATTTTTGTGCAATTTATAAGCTGCCTTTTTAATTTTTACCGTAACTTTAACCTAAGTGAATCTGCATGTTCTGGCTTATAAGCATCATTTAAATGGTTGCACATTATTCCAACCTATGAATACTATGCCTTACTTATTCTCTTACTGTTCAACATTTAGATTTTTCTTTTTCTTTCTTTCTTTTTTTGAGACGGAGACTTGCTCTGTTGCCCAGGCTGGAGTGCAGTGGTGCGATCTCGGCTCACTGAAACTTCTGCCTCCCAGGTTCAAGTGATCCTTCTGTCTCAGCGGGGATTATAGGCACATGCCACCACACCCAGCTAATTTTTGTATTTTTAGTAGAGATGAAGTTTCACCATGTTGGCCGGGCTGGTATTGAACTCCTAACCTCAAGTGATCTGCCCACCCTGACCTCCCAAAGTGCTGGGTTTACAGGCGTGGGCCACCACGTTTGGCCCATTGACATTGTTTTTAATGCTTACTATCATAAATAATATTTTTCAAGGCTTTTGATATGTAGTTCCCCATGTTTCCCAAATGAACTGTTAGATTTACTCTCTCACCAGTATGTTTTAAGGTGGATATCAGGCTCATTCCTATAAGCATCCCGAATTACTTATACTTAAATCATGTTTTCAGATTCTTCACCTCAAGGTTACTGTGGAAAAGAGAGAACTCAAGAAGTAGCTGAAAGCCATATGCACATAAACAAGAAGTAATCTTGTCACTTACTGGAAATGTGTGAAACCTAACGTGGGTAGATTGGCTTGTTCCTTAGCAAAGTCGGCAAGCCGAGAGATCACTCTGGCAAGCTACAAGAAAGATCATGCGACAGAAAGAGGTTGAATTCAGGTTGTGTTCATTACATAATTAGAAACAAGACTTTTAGATAATTTTGTATAAAATTAGACCGCTCATAAAAGGCAGCAAGCATATCTTTTCATCATTGTATCCTAAAGTGCCTGAAAGAGTTCATAGCAACCAAAATTTGAAAACCAACTTGACTACCTAAAATGTCGCGAACTATTTTATGACCAGTGCAGGAAAACAACAAAATCATAATCGTGACCCACATATTCCAGCAACATGCCTTTGGTTGCACTCTCTTCATTTAAAAGGCTATGCTTTAAAAACCATTCACTTGGCCAGGCGCAGTGGCTGAAGCCTGTAATCCCAGCACTTTGGGAGGCCAAGGTAGGTGGATCATGAAGTCAGGAGTTCGAGACCAGCCTGACCAACATGGTGAAACCCCGTCTCTACTAAAAATGCAAAAATTAGCTGGGCATGGTGCCGCATGCCTCTAATTCCAGTTATTAGGAAGGCTGAACTGAGGCAGAACTGCCTGAACCCAGGAGGCAGAGGTGGCGGTGAGCCAAGAGCATGCCATTGCACTCCAGCCTGGGTGACAAAGTGTGACTCCAGCTCAAAAAAAAAGAAAAAAGAAAAAATTCATTCAGAGTCTTTTAAAGAAGAGACAGCTGGGTGCAGTGGCTCACACCTGTAATCCCAACACTTTGGGAGGTCAAGTCGGGTGGATCCCTTGTGCTCAGGAGTTTTGAGACCAGTCTGGGCAACATGAAAAATAACCCATTTCTACAAAAAATTAGCCAGGTGAGGTGGCATGCTCCTATGCCCCCAGCTACTTGGGAGACTGAGACAGGAGAACTGTCTGTGAGTGGGAAGGGGAGACTGCAATGAGCCGTGATAAAGCCACTTGACAGAATGAGACCCTGTCTCAAGAAGAAAGGAGGAGGAGGAAAAGAAGAAAGCAGAGCGAGGAGGAGGAAGAGGAGGAGGAGAAGGAGGAGGAGAAGGAGGAAAAGGAGAAGGAGGAGGAGGAGGAGGAGGAGAAGGAGGAGGAGAAGGAGGAAAAGGAGAAGGAGGAGGAGGAGGAGAAGGAGAAGGAGGAGAAGGAGGAAGAGAAGGAGGAGAAGAGAGAGGAGGAGGAGGAAGAAAAGGAGAAGGAGAAGCAGAAGGAGAGGAAGGAGGAGGAGGAGAAAAAGGAAGAGGAGGAAGAGGAAGAGGAAGAGGAGGAGGAGGAAGAGAAGGAGAAACAGTTCTACAGATTAAACATAGGGTTTTCATTCACCTGAAAGATGACAATCTATGTAGATTTACCCTATGTGGATTTAGTTGTAACTGGTGCCTGCCTCCTACCATAGGGAATCTCGGGTTGGTAGGAAACACCTGCAGCTCCTTACCTTTGGCAAAAGCAGGTCAAGGGCATTTCTAAGAATAATCAAGTCCTACAAAAGAAAATGCAATTATCTTATATTAAGAGCTTTGCTCAAACAGTATTATTATGAAACACTTTTTTGGCCAAAAGGCTGAGTTGCTCAGCTACCAGCCTACATCACCATCACCAACCCACCAAGCATACCAGAAAACACTAACGGAAGTTGTTCTTTCCTGGTTATGTTTGAGAAGCACACCGGCTTAACAGTACTACGGGATCTAGAAGGAACAAAACCTTTATACTTATAAAGCCCAAGGTACATGGTATCTAAGATGACTGAAGGCTAGGCATGGTGGCGCATGCCTGTATTCCCAGGACTCTGGGAGGCTGAAGCAGGTGGACTGCTTGGGGCCAGGAGTTCAAGATCAGTCTATGCAACATAGCAAGACTGTCTCTCCAATATTAAAAAAAAAATTTTTAATTCAAAAAGAGAAAAATAAATACAACTGGAAATTGTGCAGGTCAACAAGGTTTGTATTTTCCTAGAGAGAAGTGTTTGAGCTTCTGAGAAGCTTCCATAAGGCACATTCCATTAGTTTCCTCCCCTGTTTTTTCTTGCCTACAGTTGCTAACAAGGAAAGGAATGAGCCAGAATCTCAAGGTTTAGGAAACATAAAACTGATGCTGAGGAAGGTGATCTTGAGATATGCATATTTCAGGTAACTTCAACACATGCCTATATGAAACAGTAACTGTTGAGCCCATCCACAGTGGGTACTTTTTTAAAGGATTTTCTGAGTAAGAAGACTGTTCTCCCATGATCTGACTCACCAATTACACAAAAAGATGCCTTTCGTTTAAGACTAAAGAAAGTATTTGGGGGCAACTTAAAAATTACTGGCTTATTCTCAAATTGGACGTTTATCTGGAATCTAACTTCAACCCCCATGGGTATACTCTGATTAAGAGCACAAGCTGTTCTGGGGCAAAAACAAAAAGAGCACAAGCTAGGCTAGGCACGGTGGCTCACATCTGTAATCCCAGGACTTTTGGAAGGCTGAGGCAGGAGGATGGTTTGAATACAGGAGGTCAAGACCATTCTGGGCAACATGGTGAGACACCGTCTCCATAAAGTATTTTAAAAGTTAGCTAGGTGCAGTGGCACATGCATGTGGTCCCAGCTACTCAGGAGCCTGAGGTGGGAGAATCACTTGAGCCCAGAAGGTCAAGGCTACAATGAGCCACGTTGTGTCACTGCACTCCAGCTTGGGCGACAGAGCAAGACCCTGCCTCAAAAAAACAGTATTTTAGCCAGCCATGGTGGCCCATGCCTGTAATCCCAGGACTCTGAGACGCTGGGGCAAGAGGACCGTTCGAACCCAGTTCAAGACCATTTTTGGCAACGTGGTGAGACACTGCCTCTATGAAATATTTTTAAAATTAGTCTGGTGCTCTGGCATATGCCTGTGGTCCCAGCTACTCAGGAGCCTGAGGTGGGAGAATCACTTGAGCCCAGAAGGTTGAGGCTGCAGTGAGCCATGTTTGTGTCACCACACTCCAGCATAGGTGACAGAAGCGAGACCCTGTCTCAAAATATTTTTTTTTGAGACAGGGTCTTTGAAGGACTTCAAAATCCTTCAAAGGTCTTCAAAGGACTTAGCAAGTCCTTTGAAGTCTGAGCACGATGGCTCACACCTGTAAACCCAGCACTATGAAAGGCCAAGGTAGGTGGATCACCTGAGGTTAGGAGTTTGAGACCAGCCTGACCAACACGGCAAAACCCCTCTCTACTAAACATACAAAAATTAGCTGGGCGTGCTGGCAGGCACCTGTAATCCCAGCTACCAGGGAGACTGAGGCACAAGAATCTTTTGAACCTGGGAGGTGGAGGTTGCAGTGAGCTGAAATCGCCCACTCAACTCCAGCCTGGGTGACAGAGTGAGACTTCATCTCAAAAAAAAAAAAAAAAAAGTTCTTTGAAAATTACCTTAGCCATTAAAATGCTAAGGCCTTGGCTTATGTCAGCCAACCAATGCATAAGCAGGATCTATAGGTCTTATTTTATAGAGGTCACTTGGTGCTTACAGCTTCGATTGGAAGGACACTAAAAGCCGAAAAAGTTTCCCAGAGTTTTCAACCAAGATACCCCTAAAAATAAAGATCTATAGTGTTACTTCCTAAACTGGACAACATCAAATAAAATTGACAAGTGCATTCTAGAGATTGAGTCCCAAGTAGAAACAACACGGGCTCCTACTGTATTGTCTCCAACATAGCAAGAGGTGGCACCAAGGTGAATAATGCCTGCAGCTTTTGGGCAGCAGTGGCCAAACGTGTGCACGTGAGCCATCACATCATGTCGTAACCGTTTCTCTTCCTCAGCTGCCATCTTGAAGTCGATGTTGTCCAGGTTGGATTTCATCTCCTGGATTTGTTCATCTGTGATAGGCAAACCCAATGTCTACAGAATAGGCAAAATAAAATCAAACAGGCTCAGTGTCACAGTTATTTGAATGAAGTGACAAGAAGAAAAAATCTGATTCATGTTAGCAGCAATATCCTATCTCCCAATCCATAAGTTAAAATTTGAGGCAACCACATTGAAAGTACACTGGCCAGGGGTGGTGGGGTCAAGGAGTGGTGGGGCAGTGGGAGAGACTTTCTCAATGAATCATGGTAAAGTATACTCTAAGAAAGCTCTGCCAGGTGCGGTGGCTCCCACCTGTAATCCCAGCACTTTGGAAGGACAAGGAAGGTGGATAGTGAGGTCAGAAGATCGAGACTATCCTGGCTAACACAGTGAAATCCTGACTCTACTAAAAAAAATACAAAAAAAATTAGCTGAGTGTGGTGGCACACGCCTGTAATCCCAGCTACTCGGGAGGCTGAGGCAGGAGAATCGCTTGAACCTGAGAGGCAGAGGTTGCAGTAAGCCGAGATGGCGCCATTGCACTCCAGCCTGGGCGACAGAATGAGACTCCGTCTCAAAAAAAGAAAACTCCAATAAATAACAACATAATCCTGCTTTTGACTGTTCCTTCTGCCCTGAGACCTCTGCTTGGTTCACTCCCCCACACATTCTGGTCTCTGGAAACAAATGTCATCTTCTCAGAGGGGTCTTCCCTGACTTCAGTGTAAAACGCCCTTCTGTGTCACTCTCTATCCCTTTAGTCTGGTTTTATTTACAGCACTTATCACCATCTGACATTTTAACATATTTATCAACCTGTCATTTCTCTCTAGAATGAATACTTCTTCAGGAGCTTTATTTATTGCTTAATGCTTAGTGCTTGGCACGATGGTGGCCATTTTACTTAGAGAAACCAAATTTAAGAATTCTGCCGGGCCCAGTGGCTCAAGCCTGTAATCCCAGCACTTTGGGAGGCCGAGGCAGGTGGGTCACGAGGTCAAGAGATCGAGACCATCCTGGTCAACATGGTGAAACCCCGTCTCTACTAAAAATACAAAACATTAGCTGGGCATGGTGGTGCGTGCCTGTAATCCCAGCTACTCAGGAGGTTGAGGCAGGAGAATTGCCTGAACCCAGGAGGCGGAGGTTGCGGTGAGCTGAGATCACGCCATTGCACTCCAGCCTGGGTAACAAGAGCGAAACTCCGTCTCAAAAAAAAAAAAAAAAAAAAAAAAAAAGAATTCTGCGGGCTGGGCGCAGTAGCTTACACCTGTAATCCCAGCACTGTGGGAGGCCAAGGCGGGTGGCTCGCAAGGGTCAGGAGTTCGAGATCAGCCTGGTCAACACTGTGAAACCCAGTCTCTACTAAAAATACAAAAATTAGCTGGGCATGGTGGCATGTGCCTGTAATCCCACCTACTTGGGAGGCTGAGGCAAGAGAATAACTTGAACCCGGGAGGCGGAGGTTGCGGTGAGCCGAGATCGTGCTACCACATTCCAGCCTGGTGACAGGGCGAGACTCCGTCTCAACAAAAGGAAAAAGAAAAAGAACTCTGTAAGTAGTTTGCCAGGAAATTTTGTACAGGAAATGAGTACAACTGAAAGCAATTCCAGGAGATATTGATGAGAGAATAAACACATCGATGTCTTAACATTCATCCATCACTGGAAAAATTAGGCTGCAAAAAATAGCTGGCAGCCCACAGGCAGTTCAGAACTTAGATCCAAGGGCCGAATATAAACAGTGGTGAAACTGATTTAAACCTCACTTGAAATTTGTAAAGTGTGACTCCAAGAAGGATCTTGCATCTTAGACCTTTTTTATCCAAGACAGGAGCTATCCAAGAGAGGGGCTACTAGCCAGACATGGCTATTTAAATTTAAATTGATTAATTAAAGTTACAAAGTACTGGAAAATATTTAAAAGTAAAAAGTCAGGCCAGGCACAGTGGCTCACATCTTTGGGAGGCCAAGGCAGGTAGACTGCTTGAGTCCAGAAGTTCGAGACCACACTGGAAAACATAGTGAGACCCCCCATCTCTACAAAAAGATACAGAAATTTGCAGGGCGTGGTGGTGTGCACCTGTAGTTCCAGCTTGGGACGCTGAGGTGGGAGGATTGCTTGAGTCCAGGAGGCAGAGGTTGCGCAATGAGCCAAGATTGTGCCACTGAACTCCAGCCTGGTTGACAGAGCCAGACCGAGTCTCAAAACAAAATAAAAATAAATAAATGTAAAAAGTCAATTTCTCAGTCACACCAGCTGCATTTTAAGTACTCAGCAGCCACATGTGGCAGAACTGCCTGGAACCTTTACAGTCACAGAAGACGTGACACCTTGGGGCTCCTTCCAAAGCAAAGCAGCAGGGGGCAGCATGCTTCCTCCCCCCAAGCAATTTATCTTTTCAAAATTCATACTTTCCTTACTACGAATTTTCTGCATTCCTCCTACTCTTTCTTTCATTTTTGGAGACGAAGTCTCGCTCTGTCACCCAGGCTGGAATGCAGCGGTGCGACTCAGCTCACTGCAACCTCCGCCTCCCCGGTTCAAGCAATTCTCCTGCCTCAGTCTCCCAAATAGCTGGGACTACCGGCACCTGCTGTCACGCCAGCTTATTTTTTTGTATTTTAGTAGAGACGGGGTTTCACTGTGCTGCCCAGGCTGGTCTTGAACTCCTGAGGCAATCCACTCACCTTGGCCTCCCAAAGTGCTAGGATTACAGGTGTGAGCCACCATGCCCTGCCTAATCTCTTATTCTCCAAGTTTTTTCTTAGCTACTAAGTTATTATGCAATTAATGGTAATTTTGACACCCTAATAGGTAATCCAAACCCAAGATTATATGCATTTCAGGCAAACAGAGAAAAGAACACATACTCGGACTCTACATTCCAATTCCAACTTGAAACCATTTACTAGCTTTGGCGACTCTGGTAAAGCCTTGAGTACCACTACCCTCATCTAGAGAATGGAGTATCAAATGAAATAGACAAGAGCACACACTAGTACATCACAAACCACAACACATGATTAACGTCTACTACTATCGCTATCTGAGCCAAGAGTTTCTTAACTTAATGCCTCCATTCTTTCATCTGTAAAATAGATACAGCAAAAGTATTTAATACCTACTCTTCAGGATTGTTTGGAGGATTAATGAGCAACCATGTGAAAGGGTTAAGACACTACCCGGGTCTCAAAAGGCACTATATGAATGTCTGCTGTTAATGGAGTGTATTGCTTAATATTTTCGAGGGCCGTGATAACGGGAGAGCAGGGAATCTAGAAGGAAAGTTGACTCAAAGTTTCCCGTTTGGAGAGTTCCAGGGTACAGTCCTGGGCACGAACTCGAATTGTTTCTGTGTTTACTGCGCCGTTTTAGAGGGCATTGCCAACTTGCTCGTTGTGGCACTGTCCACTGAAACTTGAGGAGAAACCTTATAGCTTTCTGGATCACCTTAGTTTGCTTCAACTCTTCTGGAGCTATTTCTGAAACCGCTGGACTAAGGAGTTCTATATGCAGCCCTTAGAAAAGAAACTATAAACCCCGTTTAATAAACCCCTACCCGAAGTCTCCTCCTCAGAGGCAAAGCGCAGGCCAGTGAGGTGGAAACGGTGGCCTAGAAAACACGCATTCCAGTCCTGTCACTCACTACACAGGCACTGTGAAGAACAAGGGGCTACGCGCTCAGCGCAGGCTCTGGACAGCACGCAGGTTCAAATCCCTGTTCCGCTCTTAATAGCTTGGATGGGCTAGGGCAAACAAGCTGTCCGGGCTTGGCGTTCTCCCCTGCAATGTGGGAAAAACACCATCAAGCCTGCAAGATCTTCGTGAATTAAACGAGAAAAGATGTGTGAAATAATCAGCCCAACGGCATGAAACAAGCGCTCAGTGTCTGTGCTTGGCAGCCTACTTCTGCGGGGATGGCCAAGGTGAATTCCCGGAAACGGGCTGCATTTCTCCCAGCCTCCTCCGCGTCTCGAACTCTCCCAGGCTAAGAACACGTGAAGAAACAGGTGGCGGCTCCCGGGCCTCCTGCCCTTGCCTTCCTGGGGCCGCAGCTCCTCAGGACAGGGAACACCCAGCCGAAAATAGCTGGGCCGCAGCTCCGGGGTGGCAAGCCCAGCCCGGCACAGATCCCGGCACGTGCTGGGGCGGGCCTGTCCCTCCCGGCCCAGCCCCTCAGCCCGGGGCCCGTTACCTGCTCGGCCTCCGCCAGCCACAGCCACAGCTGTCGCCATGTCCGGAATTTATACCTGTCGCTAAACACGAAGCACATCTCCGGGCTGGCATAGCGGGAGGCAAGAGGTGAGCGGTAGGTGTCAAGCGAGCCATGATCGCCACCAGCCGCCATCCCCACCCCGCGACCCCGCCAGGGTGAAGAGGACTGGGTAGAGCGGAAGCGGAAACCTGGAGGCCGGGGCGGGGCGGGACTTCCTCACGCGATCCTGCCCCCTGGGTTCCGGGCGCCCTGGGTGCTGCAGGCTGCGAACTGTCGGCTGCTTCTGTCTGAGAGTTGACGTGGTTCACGTCTTAGATTAGAAACATGATTGGTGCTTCCTACGTTACTTAGCCCCGCTGCACTTTAGTTTATCCCGTCAGAAAAGAAGTACAGGAAGACCTGCCCTGGCCGGGCGCGGTGGCTCACGCCTGTAATCCCAGCACTGTGAGGGGGCCCAGACGGGAGGATCGCTTAAGGCCAGCGGATCGAGACCAGCCTGGGCAACACAGGGACACCCTCCCGTCTCTAAAAGACGAAAAACAAAAAAGGGCCTGCCTTTCGGGTTGTGCGGATTCAGTGTTAGAGCGGTGTCTGGCAAGTTTGGAAGGCCGTGTGTGCGCTTGCTGCTGTCACTCTTATTACCGTCGCCCCGCCCACACCTCCTCGCCACGCACCGAGCTCGGGTCTAAGGAAAAATGAAGATGTCCAAGGGAAGTCGGCATTTACTGCGCCTCCAGTGAGCTCCTTGCGCCAAACTGCGGCAACAGCGGATTTGCAACGTGTACAGATGGGGGAACGCAGAGACACAGACGATGAGGGCCACCTAGCCAGTAAGCTGAGCCGGGCTTAACACCCAGATCTGCCCCGCTTCGGAATATGCCACTCATACACCATGCACAGGTCACACCAAGGATTGGAGAAGGCATTTCCCCGACCCCCATCCTGCCCGGAACACCTCTTTCCTCACTACCTCCTACTTACGACCCAGTCTGGAAAATGATCCTTGATGGTCCCATTCTCTCCTCTTTTTGGCCAATAATAATGAAAAACGGGCCGGGCGCGGTGGCTCAAGCCTGTAATCCCAGCCCTTTGGGAGGCCGAGGCGGGTGGATCACGAGGTCAAGAGATCAAGACCATCCTGGTCAACATGGTGAAACCCCGTCTCTACTAAAAATACAAAAAACTAGCTGGGCATGGTGGTGCGTGCCTGTAATCCCAGCTACTGAGGAGGCTGAGGCAGGAGAATTGCCTGAACCCAGGAGGCGGAGGTTGCGGTGAGCCGAGATCGCGCCATTGCACTCCAGTCTGGGTAACAAGAGCGAAACTCCGTCTCAAAAAAAAAAAAGAAAAGAAAAACATAACGTGTATATGAAAGTCTTACTAGGTATCAGGCACTGTCCTCAGTGCTGTATTTGCAGGTGATCTTATTTAACCCTTGTAACAATCCTGAGTAGTTCAATCAACGCTAGTGCTCCATAAACACTAACCATTATCATGGTCCCCATTTTACAGATGACAAAGCAAAGCCATGAGCAGGGCTCAGTGGCTCACACCTGTAATCCCAGCATTTAGGAGGGCTGAGGTTGGAGGATCACTTTAGGCCAGTTGGGGACCCGTGTGGGAAACATATCCAGACCCTGACTCTACAAAAACATTTAAAAATTAGCTGGATGTGGTGGCAGGTGCCTGTAGTGCCAACTATTCAGGAGGCTGAGGAAGCAGGATTGCTTGAGCCCGGGAGGTCAAGGCTACAGTGAGCTATCCACTGGACTCCAGTGTGGGTGACACAGTGAGACCCTTTCTCAAAATAAGTAAGTAAATAAATAAATAGAAATAGAGACACTCAAACTGCTTGTGCTTTTTTTTTGTTTGTATGTTTTTTGAGATGGAATCTCACTGTCTGTCACCCAGGCTAGGCCCACAAGCTCGGCTCACTGCAATCTCCACCTCCCGGGTTCAAGCGATTCTCCTGCCTCAGCCTCCTGAGTAGCTAAGATTACAGGCACAAGCCACCACATCCAGCTAATTTTTGTATTTTTAGTAGAGACGGGGTTTCACCATGTTGGCCAGGCTGATCTCGAACTCCTGATCTCATGATCCACCAGCCTTGGCCTCCCAAAGTGCTGGGATTACAGGCGTGAGCCATGCCTGGCTTTTTTTTTTTTTTTTTTTTAAATAGAGTCTTGCTCTGTAATCCCAGCTACTCAGGAGGCTGAGGCAGGAGAATTGCCTGAACCCAGGAGGCGGAGGTTGCGGTGAGCCGAGATCGCGCCATTGCACTCCAGCCTGGGTAACAAGAGCGAAACTCCGCCTCAAAAAAAAAATAAAATAAAATTGCCGGGCGCGGTGGCTCAAGCCTGTAATCCCAGCACTTTGGGAGGCCGAGGCGGGTGGATCACGAGGTCAAGAGATCGAGACCATCCTGGTCAACACGGTGAAACCCCGTCTCTACTAAAAATACAAAAACATTAGCTGGGCATGGTGGCGCGTGCCTGTAATCCCAGCTACTGAGGAGGTTGAGGCAGGAGAATTGCCTGAACCCAGGAGGCGGAGGTTGCGGTGAGCCGAGATCGCGCCATTGCACTCCAGCCTGGGTAACAAGAGTGAAACTCCGTCTCAAAAAAAAAAAAATAAATAAAAAATAAAATAAAATAAAAAAATAAACAGAGTCTTGCTATGTTGCTCAGGCTGGAGTGCCAGTGGCGTGATCACACAGGAAGGGGTAATTTGGAGCTAAGAGCCAGCTGTCTCAGTTGGGCACAGTGACACATGCCTGTAATCCCAGCACTTTGGAGGCTGAGCTGTGCAGATTGCTTGAGTCCAGGAGTTGGAGACCAGCTTGAGCAACATGATGAAACACTGTCTCTACAAAAAATATAAAAATTAGCTGGGTGTGGTGGCGTGCGTCTGTAGTCCCAGCTACTTGAGGGGCTGAGGTGGGAGAATCACTTGAGCCCAGGATGTTGGGGCTGCAGTCAGCCATGATCATGCGATTACAGCTTAGGCAACAGAGTGAGACACTGTCTCAAAACTAAAACAGAGCCGGGTGTCTGCATCCTCTCCATCTGCACTTAACTCGTAGCTCTCTGCCTTTTACGTGAGGAATCTAAAGACACTCAAGCCAGGTGCAGCGGCTCAGGCCTATAATCTCACCATTTGGAAGGTCAAGCCGGGGAAGATTGCTTAAGCCCAGTACTAAGCTGCTTTGAAATCACCTGTTTCTGAGTGCCTTAGTAAAATGAGACTTGCGGGGGAATTCCAATTTTCACTCCCAGTTTATTTGCTGAGAGTTGATTTCCTTTTTCTAATAACCGTAATATTTCTAGAATATTAAAAGTACATGATTAAGGGCTCACACCTGTAATCCCAGCACTTTGGGAGGCTGAGGCAGGCAGATCACTTAAGGTCCGGAGTTCCAGACCAGCCTGGCCAACATGGTGAAACCCTGTCTCTACTCAAAATACAAAAGTTAGCCAGGTGTGGTGGCGGGTGCCTGTAGTCCCAGCTACTCAGGAAGCTGAGACAGGAGACTCACTTGAACCCAGGAGGTGGAGTTTACACACTGCACTCCAGCCTAGACAACAGTGTGACTCCGTCTCAAACAAACAAACAAAAAACAAGTACATGATTCGATCTCAAGGCTTCAGGATCTTTGAGAATAACTTATTTTCCAGTCACCTTCCCATCCTTGTGTTCATTTATTCACAGATTCACTCAAAATCCTATGGAGCGCCCATGTTAGTGTTCTCCCTCCCCACCTCTGGGCTTTCTTAGATGCTGAGTGACCTCCCGGCTTCTCTTTCAAAACTCTTACCGGAATTCAGTGTTGCTTGCCTTGCTCATTGATGGCAAATTCGGTGGGGGCAGAGATCATGTCTGCGTTCTTGGCACTAAGCCCCAGATCTGGCATAGCATAGGTGCTCGGTAAATGTTTGCTGGATCAATAAATGCTGTCCCAAAGGAGCCTAGCCCAGGAAGAGAAATAATGCCCACAATAGCCAAGTTAGATTCCGACACCGTACTTCCTCTTCCTCCACACCTGCTCAGTGTCCCATTCCCTGGCCTGTTCATGTCTCCACCTGAACTCCAGAGTTAGCTGTCAGAATTGACTACAGTGCCAATTTCAGAATATTCAGGCCATCAGAGAAGCCCATCAGTCACCTGGGTTCATCACCGAAATCTTCTTCCACCTCCTCTCCTGAACTGCAGAGGACTGGTTTTGGGGGTGAGGGCAGTCACCAGTCTGGAAAGATGAAGAATTTGTTCCATGAAACTCCCCACTCTTTGTTTGCAAAGTGCTTCCCAGCCTGACATTGCTGTGCTTACTTTTCTCCTTTTCCACCCATGTCTCTTGTAAAAGGTGAAAGATTTATCCAATCTGAGGAGAAACCAGACCATGCACACCCATGCCCATTGTAAGCTCAATTATCTCCTCAGTCTTCTAGCCCTCTGTTCTCCCTCTGCTTCACTTTGCTGTTGCTTTTCCTCCTCAAAACAAGTTTCTACCCGAGTCTTCTTCCTCATTCATTCAGGAAAAGATCTTGCTCAATAATTTTGTCTTGTATCTTTAATCACTCCAGTTCTGTCTCCTTCTCCTCTGATTTTTTTATTTTTCAAGACCTTATCTCAGGCTGTTTTTGCAATTTTTTTAGAAACAGGCTGGGCGTGATGGCTCACGTCTGTAATCCCAATACTTTGGGAGGCCTAGGCGGGTGGATCATGAGGCCAGGCATTGAAGACCAACCTGGCCAACATGGTGAAATCCCGTCTCTACTAAAAATACAAAAAATTAGCCAAGGGTGGTGGCAGGCGCTTGTAATCCCAGTTATTTGGGAGGCTGAGGCAGGAGAATCGCTGGAACCTGGGAGGCAGAGGTTGCAGTAAGCCAAGATTGCACCACTGCACTCCAGCCCGGGCAACAGTGCAAGGCTCAGTCTCGAAGAAAAAAGAAAAAAGAAACAGGGTCTCATTCTGTCACCTAGCCTAGAACGCAGTGGCATGATCATAGCTCGCTGCTGCCTTGAACTTCAGTGCACAAGTGATCCTCCCACTTCAGCTTCCCCAGTAGCTAGAACTACAGGCTCATGCCATCGCCTTTGCTTACTTTTGTTTATTTATTAACATAGAGGTGGGGTCTTGCTATGTTGCCCAGTTGGTCTCAAAGTTCTGGCCACAAGTGATCCTCCCACCTCGG